CTCCCACACGCAGTAGAGTTCAGCTTTTGGGCTGCTAGATAGTGGATCGTAAAGCCCCCTCTGCCTGCATTCTTGTTAAAACAGTTAATCTTCAGAAATCCCCAAGCACAGCCAGAGGCTTTTGCCTGTATAACATCAGTCAGCAACAGTAAGTGCTAAAGACAGACCTGGTTAAATAAGACAGTTTAAATTCCAGGCGTCCCTTAAGCTGGTGCTAGCTGTTCCCACCAGAAGAGTGGTGAACTTCTCACTGAATGAGAAGCTAAAAATTGCCCCAGAGCACAGGAATGCTCCTTTATTTCAGGCCAAACATATTACAGATGGTTGAAAGAAACCCTGGGCCCTGGAGCAAATCTCTTTGGGAACAATCTCCACCTTCAAAGGCATCCTACAGAGTAGGTGGGAGATAGTCGTCCTTAGCAAAAGCTCTCATTCCACTTGACAGAAACCCCCAAGGGCTAACCAACCTTGGAGCACAAACTCGAGCTCCTCGATTTATCTTCAAGGTAGCTACTGCCCTCTAGCGTTCCAGGAGTCAACCCAAAAATACACCTGGGAGACTCCATCCTACCTCCCACCGTTTTTTCAATTAATGGTAAGTCTCAGCGGCTGCAGTGGGCTTCTGGGGGGGGGGGGGGGGAAGCAGCTGGAGAAGGTGACCCAGTTTCCACTTGCCCAGTTCACATCGGCACCTGCATACCCGTTACCATACTGAGGTGCCCCACGCAGTTGGCCAACCGCTCCAACCCCTGTCCCACCTCCCCCACCCCACCACAGATCTCCACCATCCTCTCCCCACTACCAGGACCCTCCCTGGACCCACTCCCCTCAGACCTCTCCACCACCCAGTTCTTGAAGCCTCCACAACCATGATCCAGAACTGTGACTGAAGAAATAGGTTAGTGATTCACTGCATGCTGTGACCGAGCATTTGAAATGACACTTGAGTCGCCCTCAGCATTCACCTAGCTGTTCCTTCATCTGTCACTCGCCATCTGCCCAGGCTTCCTATGTCCCAGATGCCATGTCAGTCACAGGGCATGACGAAAAGCGGACTCCAGCAGGTCACAGCGCGTGGGATCCGCTCAGCCAGCAGAGCATCTGACCTGGTTAATACTGGCCTGGAGGCCCGAGGACGTCTGGGCCAGCCGCTCATCTAGCCCAGGCTTCCTTGGAAGGAAGGTCCATGGACAGAACTGCCCCCCCCAGGTGGGGGCCCCTCAAGAGCTTTGACCTTGTGTGAGTATTGGTCTGCACTTCCGGCTCCCTATCACCACGCAGAAGAAAATGAAACAGCATTAGACTACAAAGAGCTTTTAAGGAGAGTCTCTGGGAGTGTCCACCACAGCTACATCATCCACTAAGTTTCGATTGTGTTAATATTGAGCTCACAAAGTATGAAAGGTTAAAATGATATTCACCAGTCAGGAGATCAAATACTTCCACCATTTTAACTTAGTGAAAACAAAGCCGCTTGGGCCATCAGCAATTCCATTTTCCAGGGACAGTCAGACGGAAAATCACACAAAGGATGAAGGAAACTGGAGCATGAAAAATAAGAGAAAACAAGAGTGTCTCTGGCCGTCTCGCACACCGCATCAGTCTCCTCACTGGCAGGTGCCTGCCCGCGCGCCGCGTTCCTTACGACTCAGCCAGCGGCTCCGGATGGGCGTGCGGGAGAGCGTGGCCAGCCAGCTGCCCAGGCTGGACGGTGGGGGGCCCCCTCTGCCCAGCACCTGCTGTGACACGTGGTCTGCGTCCTCCTCACAGCCAGGGGACTGGGGACAGCTCAGCCTGGCGCAGGACTGTGAAACAGACTGGCTTTTCCTCACCCCCCTGTGAAGTCTTCACACAGAGTGCCAGCTTCCCCAGGCACCTGCCTTGTCCACCCCAGACACCACCGTCCCAGCAGCAAATCGCACTGGCGGGACAAAATGTTACAAGACGGTCCCAGCCCTCTGGGCACCGAGGTGGTCGCTTTGGAGGCAGTGGGTGGAGAAAAGACTGAAAACCTCTGGTCAAGCATTCAGGGAGATCAGGAATAATCACCCATATCTGGGCACTCTTCACCTCTCTCCAAATGTGTCACCTCCGGAGTAAAACCTCGTAGCCCCCCCACCCCCCAGGAGGCTGGTTGACATCCAAAGATTTAACAGGTTTAGCTACTACCCGAAACAGAAGAGACAAGATCCCATGCTGCATGATGTCCCTTTGAACATCCCCCCTTTTTAATTTTTCAGCCTTTTCCCTTGTATGGCAAAACAAACAAAAAACAGCTGCGTGCGCAACCTTGCCACGAACCTACATATGCACGAAACAAGTCTTCACTTTCGTTATTAATGTTTCGTGCCGTACTATGTCCTTTTGAATGCTGCTCTTTTGCTTTTCATTCTTTTTCATGGCAGAATGAACTGGCCGCCAGGTGGTCACCCAGCAAGCTGCACGCGTGAGCCCACGCCTGGGAAACCGCCCGACCCTCTGAGACGCGGCGCTAGGTCGAGGGCTCCCGGGCTCCCGATCGGAAGCGCACAGGCTGCTCCACAGCTTGGCGGTCACTGGGCTCCTGCGGTGTAAGAAGTGGCTTTGTGGTTCTGCACGGCTTGCTCTCCTGAGAGAATAACAAGACCCCCCCACCTGCCAAGTTACCAGACGCGGCGACCCGCTGACTTTGGAGAGGGCAGCTCCAGAAAGCCTTCGCTTTCTAAAGAGATGCATATGCACGATCTCTGGGTTTTAGAATCCTGTAAGCCAGCAGGCCAGCGCGGGTGAGCAGCAGTGCGTGTGTCCTCAGGGGTGGTGACGGGACAATCGGCTGGGGGCTGGAAGCTTCCGGGGGGGTGTGCGGGTCCCGCTCACTACAGTCCCTATTCCTTCTGTAATGAACAATGACCGTAACAATTTTTATTTCTCCATTTACCCTCTGTGGATAGCTCTCATCTCGGTCTCATTCCAGCATTCATCTTCTTGGGAACTTCACTGCTGTCACCAAAGCCACACATATAAAATGCCTCGGCACACCTCCACAGATTAAATAAACTGTGCTCGCAGCTTGCCTCAAGTTCAAAGGTGCTGTGCAATCTATTTCCAAACTGCTCTTAAGACACACCGAGCACGATGTGGCTACCTGCGAAATTACAAAGCTTTGTAGCTTTGTACTGGGGGCCAAGGAGGGGCCATTGCGTAAAGACGTGTTCAGTGAGGTCCGAGGGATGGGAGCTGCCTTTCTCTCACCCAAAGAAGAAGGGTTCACTCTTCAAGAGACATCTCCAAGTCGAGGTCAGGTTGACTGAATGCAGGTCAGATTCGCACCTAGGCCTGTCTTTCTCATCTTCTGGACACCCCCAAGTGGGAGAAAGCTTTTAGGATCAAAGAGCAGCATTATAAAGCCTCATGAATTATAATGTGCCCCAAACTTACTTGTGTCTTGTGTGGAAATGGCCAAAATGGAGCTCACAACCCCCCGGTAACGGGGTTCACCGTCCGCCGAACCTAGGTAGAGAGCTGGACAGCCAGGCTGCTGGCAAGAGATCAGGGCAAGAGATTCCCCCAACAAATCAAATAGGCAGATTACTAGCGCTGCTCAAAAAATGGCTCAAGGATTGACAACATATCACCTTCGAGTTAGGGAAGGTGCCATGCTCAGGTCCTACCCAGTTTCTGGGGTTGGGCCCAGGGAATGCTTTAATGCCCCTCCGCCTGAATCCGGTACACACAAAGCTGAAGAGGCAGGGTCCGCTGCCCCCTGGGTGCCCCATCCACAGTTGGAAGAGGGGCGGCAGTGTTCCCAAGCAAACGCCACATTTCTCAGCCTCTCTGCAACGAAAGGATTTCAGAGGTACACATGCAGAACCTCTAGTAAGGGTGTCCAGGAGAGCAGCTTCAAGGGAGGCTGGCTCACACCGAGGGCCGGCCCCTCTGCTCCTTTGCCCGTCCTCCTGCTTCCTGCCTGGATGGTGGGTGTGAGGGCTGGCGCTCCAGCAGCCCCCTCAGTCCCCGAGACCGTCTCTATAATGGACACTGTGCATTATGGGTGGTGGGCACCCATTCCCAATACTCAGTCCACAGATCAGCCACATTGGCCATGAACTCTTTTCTCCATTTCTTCTACAGGAGGGAGACAAACCATTAACTTGTGAACGTCCTCTAAACCCGCCTGCTTGGTTTTCAGTTATATGCCATTCAACCTGATCCCAACCAGATACCAAGGACTGGGCCATTGTTCATTCAAATGCACCCTACCCAAGCCAGACACAGAGGAGAAGCCCATTCCCAGGGCTACAGGGAGTTTGTTCCTGCCCGTTACCCAATGTCCTGTTTGCCCTTAGCCTCTTCCATGTAAACTGTCTGTAAAGTCAATCAGTGAAAATGGATTATGTCTGTCTTTTCCTCTACCTGACCAATATCCAAAAGAAGCTGACACTTCACTGAGGAAGAGTGATGGAGAGAGTGTTCCGTTCAGAAACCCACAGCTGACTGTAGAGAAGTCGGGACCCCTTAATACACAAAAGGTGCATGGCATCGATGACAAGATCACTGCACTTCGCTTTTATTCCCAATGTAATATCGATTTTGCTCTCTCACTGAAAGTGGAAGGAGGCAGGAGGCAAGAATGGTGACGGGCACAGTAGGAGCTCAGTACAGGCTTGCTGAACAAATGAATGGAATACAAGCATGCATGAATGAATACTAATCTAATGCTGGCCCTTCCACTAAGGCTAAGTAAAACAATCCAGTGCTCAGGCAACAGAGGGCATACACTGTTCAGTCCTCAAAGCAAGGGCAGGCCTCACAGCAGGAAACACTATCAGAATGAGACAGCCTCCCTGTAAGCTTCAAAACCTGATCCATGTCACCTGGGTCACACCATCGAACCCTCCAAGGACCCCCTATGCAAAATAAGAGCGCAAGTCTCAACCTTCCTCCCATCCGACTCAGCCCATTTACAAGTGGAGAAGAGACCTGAGTGTCCGAAAAGAATCCCTCGCCTCGGATCTTAAAGGTTTGCTTACAATGATTTTTATTATTAATATTAACGAACTAATACAAGGCCCCAGAGAGCCCTGGGAATGAGGTTATTTTTTTACATGACCTTGGGCTAATGCTATAAACTTCACAGATAGGCATATCCCTTTCACTAATTATTTCCAATAAAGCAAAAGATCGAAAATCAGCATCAAGAGACACCACCACACAGTTGAGACGATTTAAAGCAATGCCCCCCACGCTGGGCTGCGGGAAATGCATCATGAACTCGGAGCAGGCTTGTTCAGCGATGGACAGCCCCCTCCTCTCACGCTCCGCGGGTGCCATCGGAGTTTCTCAGAGCCAAACGCGCAGTGGGAGAGAAGCCGCGGCCGGACGGAAGAGAAGCCCCGGCCGGACGGCTCGTCTTCTGGGAGGCCGGCGGCCATCTCCCCGGACCGCGTGAAGATGCGGCCAGGGCTGCAGAAGACCGTCCTCACCTGATGGTGGACGGTGGCTGACGGCCAGGGCTTCGGTGGTCGGTTTAAGGCCCCGTGAAGATAATGCCGCAAATCAGAGCTTGGACACCAGAGCAGCCCCGAGCTCACTGCAGCCACCTCCACACTCAGCGAGGCACAGGCCAGATGTCTCGTGGGACCTGATTGTTAGAGCAAACGCGTCGTGTTTTCCTGCCAAGAGAGATGGGAAGTGCACACTGGGGGGCCCCGGCCATCCTTCCCCCCCTCGCTGGGCGCCTGTGGCCGCCAGGATCTGTTCTCCCCCAGAGCGAGCACCGGAGGTGGCCGAGTAAGGCTCCTTTTGTGTCGGGGTGAGCAGCACTCCAAACGCGAGTAGAGACAGAAGCTCGGTTTCACGCACTGTGTGTAAGCGGCGGCGTCCACTCTGCCAGGGGCACCGCCTGGGCTCGGGACTGGACAGTTGGGCTGCGAGGGCCACTCCCGTGGAGTTTTCCACTTGGGAACCGTCCTGCGTCCGCTCGAGGCAGACCCAGTTTTGTGGGGCCCTGAACCCCAAGTCCTCCCCAAGGATGGCTAAAATGCTGGCAAATGTTAGCAGAGACCGTTTCTGCAAGTTCCGTGCGGACGCCGTCTTGACCAGAGTCGGCTCACAGAATCACTGTCTTGATGTTTCTTTGACCAGATGGAAAGAGGAGTAATATGTGTCATTCTTAAATTCCTCACCAAGTCCTCGAGGAAAGCTGAGCACTTCTGGGGCGAGGGGAGGTCGGCTTCTACAGCCGGCTCCGAGGTCTGGTTTCTGTGTGGGATTAGCTTCAACGCTCCTGTGCCAGTTTTCAGGTGGAAACTAGGGTGGGTGACACTTTTCAATGCGACAACGCCCATCCTGTACTTCAAGCCCAGGTCCTCTGGGCTTCAAGGACCGTCCCGGCCTTGGGCTAGGGTCACCTAAAGCCAGCACGCAGATCTGTATCCCAGGGGCAGTGCAGGACGCCCCAAGTCAGTCACCTGAGTTACAAGCATATTGACAGCTGACATGGGTCTGAGCGAGGGGGTCACAGAGCCACTCCTCCTCCTGGGGTCCCCGGGGTAGTGACAGACAGGAGGTGTGAGCGCATTTAGGTTCCAGGACCAGGCTCCTCTGACACGCCCCTGCCCACAGCGCCTTCACATCAGGACCTGTTCCCGCGTCTCTGGCAGGCGGAGGGCGATCAGGCCGCCCCCGACGAGCGAGGCAGCCGCCAGGAGGATGGGGACCACTTTGGTGACCCCAACAAAAGAAGCAAAGATGGTGTTCCCCAGGATGGCGCCAAACTTGCAGAGCCCGTTGAGGATGCCAAAGGCTGTTGCCCTGTCAAAGAAGAAGAAGGTGATGATTCTGAGGAGCAGCATCAGGGCGCTGAGCTGCTCCCCGCCTGGCTGTGGAGGCGGGACAGCGAGGGGAGGGCGGGAACTGCTGTCCTAAGCATAAAAGAAGCATCGTCTCGCTTTAGTCTAGTTGAACACACGGAGCAATACAGAACTGGGGGGGCCTCTCTGTCTCAAAGGACACAATCGCCGCCGCTAACACCCCAGAATACTTCCTGCAAACTCGTGTTTCCTTCTTTTCAGAGACACGTCTCCTCCTGAAATTCTCGCAGGAGTAGGTGAGTGTTGTGAAATACTGAAAGAGCAGAGAAGAACGGAGTAGAAAGTGTAAGTGCCCCCCAGAGCCGCCCTCAACGCCGTCTGGCAGAGCCCACCAACCGCCCTCGACGGCTCTGAAGGTCAGAGGGCACTGCCAGAGCCCTGTGGCTCTGTGTGGCCCCGTCACTGAACGTGACCAGTGGGGCAAGCGCTGATGGCAGCTCCCGCAAACGAGTCACGCGTGGGCCTTTGCACCCTCCTCTCCCATCCTTCTTCCTTCCATCCTGCTTCCTGGGATGTAGGTGGTTTTATTTTGAACCATGTTCAGGGTTATGGAAGAGAGAGCAAGACAGAAAGGGCGTACGGTGCCTGCCCTAGGCAGTCACAGGTGAGAAAAGTACATGGGCACATCTTCAGGCGGCAGAGACTTGGGGTTTCTATTATCTATGTCACAAAATAAAAGCACGCTCCAGGCGCACTGGCTGACCCCGCTGGCGCCTTGGCCGTCGGGCCTCCGCACGCCCCTCTCCCCCGTTCCCCAGCCCTGCCCACGTGTATCTAGTTGGCCACCATTTCGCTCGGTCTCGCCTTCAGGCCTGTTGTCACCACTTTGGCTGTGTGGCCACATCGGCTCTCCCAGGCCTGGCTTGAGCTGCCCACCCCCACCACAGCCGCCACAGTGCAGCCCACACAGGAGACGCCCAGTCCGTGCACACTGGGAAGACCTGGACGGTGGTGGTGGAGGAGAACCCGGCCGGAGTAGCCCCAAGCGCCCAGAGAGGCTGGGGCAGAACCCACCTCTGGTTGGTGGGATACAACTCCACCGTGATGACATCCAGGGCGTTCCAGGCAGCGATGCTGGTCCCGCAGAACAGGCACTGCCAGCCGATCATGGCCGACTCGCTGTCGCCGAAGAAGAGGAAGAAGCAGCAGACAGCAGAGATGAGCATGGAGCCGCCTGCGGAGCGAGGGCAGAGCGGACATGAAGCCGGCGGGCAGGACCGGCCCCTCCGTTCTCGCGGTCACCGCTGCAGTAGCAGAGCCGCCTCAGGGGCCAGCACGAGCCTCGGGCACCCGGCCACGGCCAGGGCGCCTCGGCGTGGCCCTGTCGCCGGAGTGAGCCGAGGAATTTGCTCAGGGCCTCGTGGTGCTCGCAGGCCCAGGCCACCGGGAAGACGGCAGAGGCTCACTGAGAATCTACGCGGCCTCAGCCCGGCTCAGGCTGCCTGCGGCACCCCGTGGTCAGACCCCTGCGCCCCTGGGGTTCACGTTCCAGCCCTACGCATGGACAGAGGAAATCCTGGCGAAGGGCCCGCTGGTGTTCTCCTTTTCCTCCCCGTCCCCAGCCCAAGAACCTGTCGGCCTTCTCAGCCCTGCTCTGCGCCCGAGAAGCCAAGCCCCCTGGCCCGGGCGCCCGTGAGCTGGGAGGAGGCAAGGGCTGGAGTTTGCACCCCACTCCTGGCCTGTCTCCCAAGCCCACCAGAGGGGAGGACTGAGGGAGTCCTTGGCTAGCGCCAGAGGCCTGGTCTGCCTGACTTGTGCCTACTCCCTGCCTGCCCTCAAAGTCTCTTCCTCAGAGCCACCATGGGAACCCTGCGGAAAGGGGGCCGTATGGACTCCTGACCCAACACAGCCAGCCCAGGGGGGTCGAGGAAGTTGGGGGGCTGAGGCACAGGTCACAGACCAGGGGTCTGGCTGGAGATGAAGAGGGAGAGTAAAGACAAAGGAGGCAAGAAAGCACCAAACAACCAGTGGAAAACAGAGCACCGGGGGCCCGGAGGAGGGAAGACCTCAGTTCCCAAAGGCCTGGGCTGGCACACAAGCACCCCCCTGGAGAGCCCCCACCTGAAATCCCTCCCTGGCACTGGAGTGGGGGGGCAGGGGCCGTGAGCAGCCTGTAGCCTCTCTCAGGGAAGGAGAGAGAACTCACGGAAGAGGAGAGGGGAGGAGGCAGTCGGGGTCAGAGGCGCTTGGAGAAAGGGGTGCCGTGGCCAGCCCAGGAGCCAGAGGACACGATCAAAGGGCAGAAGGCCGAGCACTGGGCGGTATGTGCTGCTGCTGCGACATTAGCTCCAGGAGAGAGAGCAGGGCCAGAAAGACGCAAGTGTCCAGATGCAGGAATGAAAAAGAACAGCTTCGTAAGTGACTCCAGGAGGGAGTCACAGGAGCGGCAGGAGCAAGGAAGAGGTTGAAGTTCGCTCTTCCAGACACCATTGCTCTGCCTTGTTTTACTTCCCTCTGAGCTCCCAGCTGGGAGGCTGGGGCTGAGTCCTCTGAGGCCTCCCTTGAGGCAGCTCTCAGCTGACTAATGCAGGTCACCCCGCCAGGGCCTTGACGCTACTCTAGTACCCTAAACCCCTCCCCTTGGGGATCTGCACCTTGTTTCTTGCCTGCCCAGCAAGCATGGCTGTTTCTCTGTAGCCAACTGGTGTTAAGGCACAGCCCACAGGGGCCCCCATCTTCAAGAACCTACGATGCACCTCACCACCAGATGCTTTGGGCATCACACTCGACCTTCACAAAGCCCTACCAGTGTGATAGGAGACCTCACCTTTCCAAAGCCTCAGGCCACAAGTAAAGGAATACTGTTGGATACCAGCAGCCCTTGGGCAAGGAGAATTCACCAGGAACCCATCACACTCCCACACCCCACCAGTTATCACCACAAGGAACAATAAGCAACAGATTGCTTAAAACTCATCAAACGGGCCCTCCCTGATGGTGCAGCGGGTTAAAGTGCAGCACTAAGAAGCTAAAACCACTTCCGCATGAGTTCGATCCCTGCCTGCCCCGGAGGAGACCACATGGCGCGGCAGACCTCTCCTGACCCGCCCGCTGCTCCCCTCAGCAGTGGACTTCGTCGATTTGTTCCCCACTCTGTCTCTGGTGAAGCCTCTCGCCGCCTTTGAGCCTCTGGCCTGTACCCCAGTTCTGTATGCACAAATAAATAAACCTTAAAAAAAAAAAACTCATCAAACGAAACTAATGCTCATGTAAGAGCAGTTTATGTGTTTCCTGAAATAATCTTGCAAAGCAGGTGGAATGGCCTATTTAACACCCCTACCAACGTGCTTGTAGAGTAAGCGGCTGTCACAGAATTGCTGGGTCAGGAAATGAAGCTGAGCCCGGGGCGGGCAGGGGTGCCGTGTTCCGCTGTGGAGCCCTGAAGCCTTGTAGATGGGACTCCTGGCCCTACACCTACACATTCCACCTTACCTGTTTGGCTTCTTGCAGGAGATTTCTTTACATGAAGGAGTCAATTAGCCGGCCCACGGGCACAGACGGGGCCCTGGCGACTCACCGATCATCTTGAGCCTTCCAACTCTATCCATGAGCAGAGCAGAGATGATGTTCCCAGGCAAGACAGACAGACTGCCGAGGAAGCTGACCAGGTAAATCAGGAAGTCGTTATCTTGCTCGAAGTCCATGTGGCAGCCTTCCTTCTGCTCCAGGAAGGTGGAATTGATAAAGCGGCAGTTGATAAACTTGTGCTTGTAGAGGTCTGCAGAGAGGAGGAGACGCTATAGAGCGGAGCTGGGGGGAGGGCCGGGAGGGGAGAAGTTCTGCCCCTCCATTGTCTCTGCCCACCGGACAGTCTCAAGGTCAGGGTGGTGTGTGACCAGGTGTGGTCATGACCTGCTCGGGTTCGTATTAGCAAAGGGGAGACACCAGGAGCGTGGCGAGCATGGCCGCGGCACCCTCTCTCAGACCACACAACAGGCCTGGCTGCACAGAGGAAGGGACCCGGGGGCTGCTGGCCACTCCGGGCAGGAGGCGAGGGTCCTGGGTCCAGAGCGAGCTGGACCCCTAAGCCCAGAAACACAGAAACCCTACTGCTGTGCACAGTGACAGTCCTCTGCCTGTTGGTTGCCGTGGCAGGGTTGGGGAAGGATGAACGTGGTCAGAGGACCTTCAGGGCAGTGAAGAGATCAGTGATGGGTGCCTGTGTCCACACTCGGAGATCGGACCGCACCAGGGGTGGACTTGAGGGGCGATGGGCTCTGGGTGAGTGATGCGTCAATTCATTATCACAGAAGTAGCAGCTGCTAGGGGCTGCTGATCGTGCGGGCGGCCTGCCCGTAGGGGGACCTAGGCCTCGGGAATCTCTATGCCTCCCTTCCAATTTTGTGGTAAACCTAAAGCTGCTCATTGTTACGTCCTCTTAAAAGTTAAAAAGTTAAAAAACATTCACTGAGGAACTAGATCCAATCCCCACCAGCTATTCCAGCAGAAAGTGCTGGAAACAGGCTGTCAGGAAGCCTGGGCTCAAGGCTCTGGCTCTGCCCCACGACGCTCGTCTGAGTCAGAGGTCACCCGCTGGTCTCTTCCGACCAGGCTCTGACACTCTGAACCAACAGTGTCTGCAAGCCCCCATGTTAAAAGGTGGCAAGAAGGCATCAGTAAAACTTGAAAGAAGAAAATTAAATATATGCCAGCTTTTGATAACAAATGGCAAAGTATGGAACTCATTATTTATTTATTTATTTGGAAGTTCAGGCTAAAAAGAAATCCAGGACCGGAAATACCATAATGGATTATTTAGAGACAGAGGGATATGTAGAGACGGGACTTCTGAGGCTGACATCACGGGGAGAAAGCGAAGGTCCCTGCGTGCACCAGCTGCAGGTGCCGCCGAGGGAGAAGGCACCGATCTGGACACAACACACGTGGTCAGCAGGGAATCACAGCTTCGGGTCCTGGGAGCGGACAGCTGGCCGCTGTGGCGTTGGCTGCGCGTGGAAGCCACGTGTCCTGTGCGCTGGGAGGGGCTGCGGTGCGGCCCCACTTGAGAGATGCAGGGGGCCCCTGAGAGCCCCCCTGTGCCGCTCAGTGTGTTGTGACTGTGATGAGCATGTCAGTGCCACAGAAGTGGGAGGACCATGGTGTCTTGTGAGTTTTTGATCATGGGAATCTGAAGCGGCGCGGTTGATGACTATTGTGTATTCTTTTCTCACTTTATACATGAAACTTCAAAACAACATGGTGCTTCTTTCTCACTGACTCTCATGAAAACATGAGCCATGAAGTTTGCAAATTTCAGTTACTGCCGGAACTTGGAGAAAACTAAAATGCGGCTTCCTGAAGGCTGGTTTGTATCCGTGTCACTGTTTTATTTCTACCAAGTGTGGAACTCCCGCCCACTGAGATCAGAACCCTTGCCCAGAACTCCTGTTTCCACTCACCCGGGATAAAACCAAGCCCTGAACCGTGAAATGCCTCGGTGGACTGTGGACAGATCTGTACCTGGGCCCGGAACCACCTCTGCGTCCCAGGGCTTGCAAAGGTGTCTGTGGGGCCCTGACTCCAACTCTCTTAGGACTGAGCAGCCCGGCTCTTAGACTAGTCCCGCCTTGAGGCCTTCTGGCCGCGTCGGCACGTTCTTACCCGTGTTATAAAAGGTGGTTGACTCGATGGTGCAGTTCTTGAAATAGGTGTCAGTAGATGAAACATCTTCAAAAGAGCACATGTCAAACAGCGTGTCCTCGAAGACTACGTGCTTAAAATACATCTTTGTGAACCTGCAGAAAGATCCATCCCTGAGTGGTTCAGCCAGGGACAAAGGAGACTAGACAGTAACATGCAAAACGCAGGAAAGCAGGGAGAGAACTAAAAGCCAGAGCATTTCCCGAATTCTCTAATTAGACTGAGCTCCTCAAGGGTGACTCCATCTGTCCTAAGACACAACAGCTAAGTGGATGTGACGTTGGTGGTTTCATCACTTGGCGGACAAAGCTTTATGGGGGGCTGAATCGAAGAGTCTAGAAGGAGGGCTCTGCCCAGACCCTGGACAGCCCCTGGTCTCTGTTTTTCTTAGAGGAAAAGTCCCACATCTGCTAACTTTTCTTTTGGTCTTGAAACTCCTGAAAGAAGACTCTTGGACTAGTTTAGTATATAAATTAGAGATCAGAGCAGATGATTTATATGAAACTCATAAATACGTCCTGGCCCTTTCTCCTTTTATCTCTTCCTTTATAACTTTGGCTTTTTATAGCTCATGTAGTGATGCAGTCTAAGGTCTTCTGCCAGCATCTGGCCCATTTATGATTTATGCCGTGCTTTCTCGCCCACCCTTGTAGAACATTAAAATCTCACCGAAGGTCGCATCACGAGCCTGTTACTCGATCAAAAAGGAGGACAGTTAAGAAATGCAAAGACATGAGACAGCCCCCAGGAACTGCTTTCTCGAGCTAACACATTGAGCACACAAATTACATGAATTTTGAAATAAGAAGCATCTTTCTGTGACAACTAATTCACCAATTACTTTCCCAGTGGCCATCTGGAGAGGTCAGGTAGCTTTTGTAGGCCTTGGTTTAGAAGTCTGCAGCCAATTCAACCCTAAGGAAAATGACTGAAAAGAATTGAGCCTTCTAGAGCAATGAGCGTTCGATCCGTTAGGTACAGTGAGCTGGGCTGTGCCCCTGGGGATTATGTTTCAAGAGGCCAAGGCTGGAATGTCGGAGGCGGCATCCCTCAGAATGGCTTCTGCTTTATTCTGAGGCCAGGGGTCTGGGAGCTCTCTTTGAAACACCTGCTGGTGCTCCTTCCTGCAGGAGGTCTTTTGCAGCTGTCATGGATCTAGATCAGAGCAGGATCTACTGTGGCATAGAGGGTAGGAGTGCCAGCCGTCGGGGTGGCGATGGGCTGGCTCACCTGCTCCCCTTGCTCAGAGATTCCTACTGCTCTGTGCTTATCTGTTTGCTTCTCTTTTCCAGTTAGGGGAAAACAGGGGAGGGGAGCCTGGCTTTCCTCTCTGGGTGTACCCCGAGCACCGGCCCCAAGTTCAGAAGGTGCTTGCTAAAGGTAGAGCATGCAAATAAATGAATAGACGATGAATTATTGGGATTTAATTCTTCATAAATACCGCTGTATCTAAGAGTAGCCTACAGGCTGCCCAAGCCTGGCACCCAGCTGAGGATGAGGCCGGGGTGCGTGCCTGCGTGCCATATCGCTCTTTCCCATCACGTCTCCGTCGGAGCTGGAGTGGCACGGGACACCCAGGTGCCTGCGCTTCATCATCCTCTAGCTGCTTAGGAACTTAATTTTGAACATTCCTGCCTGGGTAGAAGGGAAGGTTTAGTTTATATCCTCCCTAACACGTATTCCACCTCCCCAGGGCCAACCGCATCTGCCTGTTTCTTATGAAGCTAGCAAGATGAAGCACATCCTTCCCTGCCAGAGTGGTCACACGCCATAAACACTTACATTTGACTTTTTTTGGCATCAATGTAGTTTGAAAATTGTTCCAATAAGACATATTGGCATGGATGTACCTAATAACTATCATCATCATTACATTGTATTCCATTGTGATATTCACCCACCCATGCATCCACCCAGCCAACCCAGTGCTGTTATAAGCAATGTTGGGGGGTTATGCATTAAGATTTTACAAAGTTGCTCTCCAAAGAGGTTGCCCCAGTACTAGGCTCCCAATTGAGTAACGTTGGCAACAGAGGTGAGCTAGGAAATCCCTTATGGCCCCCTGGGGTCAGGAGCACCAGCTGGCGTCTAGCGCAGGAAAAGAAAACCTGGTGAAAGGGGGGAAACTAGAGGACTCCGAGTGAAGGGCAGGCGTTGGGCAACAACAACATGTTGTGCCTATCCAGTCACTGCGGCAAAGGCGCCCCACGACGCTCCTGGTATGAGGTAGATGAAACTTTCTGGGCTATCTTTGTAATTGCTGTGAGTCTAGAACTGTTCTAAAATTAAGTTTATTTAAAGAGACAAAAAAAATTTCAAATATGTAACTGACAAATGTTTTCCGTTCACAATTTCCACCCTGAGCCTTCAGTTGGAACTGGAGAGAGCTTTCTCCTACTTCTCACTGGCGCATCGTCTTACTGGTCCCCATGGCGGTCCTGACCTGTACCCGCTTCCCTGTGGGCGGTGAGAGCTCAGGCCCCGCACTGCTTCCTGGGTCACCACCCCCGCTGTGGTACCTGCAGACACTCCTTCCTACGCAGAGGGTCAAGGTCACAAACGGACACGTTCTCTGGGGGGAGACTTGTCCTGTTTTTAATTCACATGAAGAGAAGCTGGCCTGACATTTTTAACGTGGGGTTTAACACATGAGTTTTTTCTTCTGCCTTTCTTGCCTCAGTTTTGAAGCAAAAGCAGCGTGAGAGCACGGCATCTCCCACAGCCACGTGCTGCCCCGGGAGGCTGCGGACGTTTCGTGGGAGGCACAGAGCTCCTGAGTGTGCTGCTGCTTCCTGGGCTCAGCCCATCCACAGGGTGGAGTCTCTCCTTGATGGAAACGCCCGACAGTGCAGCCTGAAGCCCTGTTTGCACAGCCCCGACTTGGGGTAGTCAGTGAAGTAAATAATTTCCACTGGACTTTAAGGCAGCGAAGGGCGGCTGCCATCCGCCGGGCCTGTGGGGCCCGTCCGGGAAGGGCCACGCGTGGATCACGGCAGTGGACTCCCTTGGGCGTGGGGGGTTCAAGAGGCGCGTCTCTACCTGTCGCCAGCAGGTGGCAGCACAGCTTGAGCGAGAAACGGACTCCTTTCCTTACCTGCAACTGCGCCCAGGAGAAAAACCCTTGTTTGTTCATTTTGCTGAAGAGAACAACTACAAAATTCAACTAAGTGTGATGTTTTCAGTATCCATTGGTGGACAGACACATATGACGAGTGAAAATGGACAGTGGCAACTTTTGAAAGAATGTGTATGTTACGAGTCACCCAGAGTGACCCAAAAACTTCCACCCGTGAAACACAGACCATTTACAACCACTCCAGGCTGCCCCTGGCACACTACAGACCTCGGGTGCCAGCCCACGGGGCGGGACCCTGCTTTAATCAGCCCTGGCTTCCTCCTCACCCTCACCCAGCAGCTTGGGAAGCTAAGACCGGCGACTGTGGGCAGCCTTGGGGGGCATTCCTAAAGCCCCCCGGGCTGCTGTCCTCTCTCTCTGCCCCAGGAGTCGATGCAAAGAGAAGACATAGCCCCACCAGGATGTGGACATGACTTTTCTAGTATCCCACTGACTCCACCCCCCCCCCCCAAAGATCCTTAGGTTGATGAGCCGCAGACTGACCCTGGAGGTAATATCAGATGGAAGAACATAAGACAGCGAGTGTCATGTTAGCCTTGGCGTGGAGAAGCTTCTAGAATTTAGAAAAAGGAGGGGTTGGTGGTGCAGGGATCTCAGCCGTGAGAGTGTGGGGCCCTCTCCACCCCCACTCCCCCACCCTCGCCCAGGCAGAAACCCACTGGACAATGGCTCTCTGTGTCCCCACTAAAGGTTCAAGTCTCAGAAAGGTGGCTGAAGGGCCCTTCCCCAGTCAAATATGTTCATCCTTGGGAGACTGTTATGGCCAGCAGATTAGAGAGGACCGGACATACCATCGGAGCCACAGGACCTGCCACAAGCTGTGCGACCACTACCGCCCCGGTAGAGCCCATCCGCCATGTTAGAACCCCCCACTTTCCAAAGAGTCTCCCAAGAATGGTCCCCGGGACACTCCCTGGCCTTGGGAAAGCCCCTGGGCACTCACTCACTTGTCATTCACAAGTTTCCCATGTTGGTGAATCTGATTTTCCATCGTGAAGTTGATTGTGGCACCATACACGTGTTCCCCGAAAAATACCTTCATTTTCGATCTGTATTCTTCATCTTGGTAATAGCGGATCATATCAGGGAACCAAACTGTCAGTCCGTAGTAACTGTAATAGAGGCGGCAGCATTTCACGTGCCTTATTCTCCCATGGCCAGGTCTGCATCCTGGCCTGCAGCAGCACGAGCTCATTTTAAGCGTGTTGATATGGTTCGTTATTGGAAAATCTAGTCATAGAACGCATGGTAGTAATAAGTAAAGTATGATTTCCCTAATGTTAAAAGGTATTCAATAGAAAACAGCATTCATTCTTGATAAAAACACCAATCGGGCCCTCCCTGGTGGCACAGCAGGTAAAAGCACTGCACTAAGAAGCTAGAGCCATTTCAGCACGAGTTCGATCCCATCCCGGAGGTGACCACATGGCACGGCAGACCTCTCCTGACCCACCCGCTGCTCCCCTCAGCAGTGTACTTCGTCTGTCAGCCTATTATGCTCCCCACTCTGTCTCAGGTGAATCCTCTCACCACCTCTGCCCCTCTGGCTTGTACCCCAGTTCTGCATGCATAAATAAATAAGACTTTAAAATAACAATTAAAAAAAAAACACCAATAGATTAGGGATGAATGGATTCTTGACATCTAAGAAAATACATAGCTCAGCTCAAAAGGTAGGTTCTAACTTAATGGGGAAACACGACAGATGAATTTTCACTCACAACAGGAGCAAGCCCAGGATACCAAGCGCCACCAACACCATTTTGTCTAGATTGAGGACTGAGACAATGCAGGCAGGAGAAAAACACGGGAATTTACAATTGTAAGACAAGAGTTAAAATTACCTCTACTTGCAGAGGAGGGGCTTTTTCTAGCCTGGGAGACTCCAGATGGCTGCCATTAAGCATCAACCCTACTCCCAGGAACACCTCTTCAGAGCATTTTTGGTTCAGTGGTAAGAAATTTACTGCTGGTAGAAGCCATCAGAGCAAGCGGCCTGTGGTTGGCAAGCAAAGGCCTCCGATCTGGTACAGACTATGCGAGCCAGAAACAGCTAGAACCCTTGACTCACAGATGGACCCCGAGGCACTTGGAAATAAACGTGTGGAACTGGGGAGACTTACCTCAGCGCCATGGTGAACCAGACCACTGCCAGAATCAGCGTGTTCATCCTGAAGGGCCCCATCACACAGTAGAGAGCATTGTCCCACACCTACAATCCGCACAGAGAAGGTTAGCTGAAGCACGGAACTTGTCTCGGGAAGGGCTCACTTCTCGGATGTTCTAACACATAGCTGAGACACCCACGGAGAGAAGGGGGAATTGCCATCTCCCAGGGGGCGGTTCTGTTCAAACAACAGTGGCCAGCGTGAGTCCCTATGGCACGTGCTCTGTTAGAAGCCCTCCTCCCTGGTCCAGCAGAGCAAAGCCATCACCACAGAACTCAAGCCAGAGCTCACTCCCTGTCTGTGAGGCAGTCTCAGCAGAATCTGCTGCCTGTGGGCAAACCGGCCCTTCAACCGCCAATGAGTGAGGAGGCCCATGATGAAGATTATAAAACGGGGGTCCCCAGCTTTTCACCCCCACTAGCGTATTCTTTAAAAGTCAGGCACCTGACTGACCCCCAGCCTTTTCCTCCAGCATCACTTCTTTCAGGACCCCTTAGGTCTAAATCTGTAGACACAAACCAGAAGTCTGCCCCTGCCCGGCCGGGAATCATTTCCTTTGGCATCCGTGACTCGCTGCTCTCTGTAGAAACCCCCGTGACACTTCGGCGGTGGGAACACCGCTCACGGAACAATCCTGGCTTCCCACACCGGAGCCCTCTCTCTGATGACTGGGCACGCGCCTTGTCTCGCTACCAGGAAGCCTTGCACCAGAGCCCACAGTCTCTTCTCGCCAGTGCTGTCACACCTCCCGGGGAGCACAGCAGTGTGCCCCTGAGCCCGGCGGCCCGCGGCGATTCAGGGCACCGAAGGACCCTACGTGGCGAGTCCCGCGCCTGCCTGTGGTGTGGGTGACCCGCCGACGCTGAACCACCCTCTCCCGCGTGTGTCTCTGGGCTGCTCAAGGCGTTAAACAGGGCCCGGCCTGGGGCCACTTCTCCGGGAACATGGCCCTGCCCGTGAAGGGTCCCTCAGAAATCACTCACAGCGCTGCAGGACTCACTTCTTTGGCTCATCCCTTGCTGTCTATGGATTACTCAGAGAAGTGGCCCAAGAGGGGACACTCTCCAAAGCCTCGGCCTCAGGAGGGAAAGTCAGGGCTGGAGGACTGAGGCTCCAGGCCCCCCGAGGCCTGAGTGCTAGGTGGCTGGTGAGGAGACAGAGGCTCTAAGATGATGTCTGGCCAGTTTCTCCCCTCACAGGAAACCTCCATGACCCGTGGGCACCAGTCTCACCTGCGTGTCCCGGACCTGTTTAGGCTCATTTGTAGGTGAATCTGCAAAATTCCTGTAGGCTCCCAAGCTCTTTGTCCTGGTTCCCCCACGCCCCTCCCCCCTTTCTAGAGCCAACATAGCCTCACAGGAGCAACAGAGGGTGTTCTGTCGGCTCCTGCGTGCCGAAATTAATTAAAGTTGTCTCTTGCTAACCTCCCTGGTGCTAACAGTTTCCCAGCCCACAGGTAGCGGCAGGTGAGCGTCCCCACGGCCCCATGCCGGCGAGGATGGGCTAGCACCAAACCCGCGCCGTGTTGTGAGGATGCTCTTCGCCCCTGAGGGGAGGGGCTCCCACAGCCGCCTCCCCTCCACTGCCCGCCCCCACCATACCTGCTTGAAAGTGGTTGTGAATCGGACCAACCAGCGCTGGTACCAAGTTCCTGTTGAACTCTGGATCTCAATGAATTCATCCATTTGCTTGGGAGTTTTGATGTTGGAAACCTGCAAGGCAAAGATGGTCCAGACAATCGTAACTCCAGTTTGTGCCAGATTTTTCCATTTTTTGCCTAACAGAACCGACTTTATCCACTTATGGGGGCCTCTGACGACACTCTGGGCCGGAGTCCTCAGTCACAGGTGCGCAGGGCCCGGCCCTGCCGGCGGCTGTATCTCCTTGCCGACGAAGCAAATCAGTGTCTTCACTTCGTCACGCCTTTGGGAAATCAGTGGCCCATAGGACACGGAATTTCCCTTCACATCTAGAAAGGGAGCTCCGGATCCCGGCCGCTGTGGGGCCTGCTTGTGGCCGGGCCGAGCGGGGAGACGCCTAGCCACGCCGGAAGGCAGGCGCCGAGCGGGCGGAGGCTTGGTGCAGGAGTCGGGGACCTCTGCTCTCTGGCTCCACAAAACGCTCCGTTTAGATCAAACGCCTATGCTGAGGGACACATGGCGCCCCTCGGGGAGATGCTGGCCAACACGGGGCCATTTCGGGGGCGTCTGGAGCAGCACGTGAGGCCTTACACCCTGAGCAGATGCAGAAACCATTAACCCGGTGCTGAGTTTCCCGTCAGTCAGAGCCAAGAAGAGGCCTGTGCTGGGGGGAGGGGAGATTTTTCCATACACAGACACCCGATGGATCTCCCTGACCTAATTCTGCCAACACATCACTTCCTCATGCCTAGATCGCTCCTTTCTTTGTTTGCTTCCATACGCCCAGCCTTGGCCCCGACACTGGGGAGACAGATCGGAGCACTGCCTCCTGCCGTCTCCTGTCGCCTCGTGAGTCAAAAGGCAATGAACTCTTTCTTTTCTCAAAAACACCTATGTCATCCTCTTGAGTTCTATGCATGTCAGTAAGCAAGCCCACTCCTGGGGGGGGGGGGGAATTTGCCTCATAAACTATTTGAAAAATACGAATGGAGCAAGAGAAGTGATGTGTTCTTGGTCCCCAGTGGAAATCGAAGACGAACAGAGACAGTCTCATCTATGTCGAGCTCCCCTCAAGGGCCCTGGAGAGTGCTGACTTGCCCGACATCAGCAGGTGGCCCCAAGGAGAAGCCTCATTCCCAAGACGGTGATTTCCAAGTTAACTGATGCTTAAAGCAGCCCCTGAACTGTGCAGGCAGCTGTGAGTTCAAGGGGAGTCCTGACTTCATGAATTCTTAACCGAATGGCCAAGGTCCGCGCTTTCTGACCTAGGCAGAGGCACGGGGAAGAGCAAAGTCAAAAGCAACATCACCTCCTCCAACAAGCCTTTCATTGAGGTTAACAGTGACTCATCTTTCTTCACAGGACTGAGGGTGTGAAGAGACCAGAGAAACCGAGATGGGATGGACAAACACAGGAAAAGCCAGAGCCTGCACTGTAGACAACTGACTCCTTAGTGGCCAAGCCCTAAGCCTCGGCAGGCCTGGCTACACTTCACTAAACCCTAGACAGTGGTTCTCAACCTGCTGGGCCAGCGAGGCGATCCCTTGAGAACCCGGTAAGAGCAGGTGACTCCCTGCCTGGCAGGTGCGCGCTGAGTGCCTCCTCCGTGCCCCACCCTCGGGTGCGGGGGCCCCTGCAAAGGCGCCAGGGACAGGAGACCAGCACAGCGAGCTCTGCAGTGAAACTCTTGGCTGGCGCTGGGCTTCCTGCACCTGCGCCCCCAGGGAGGCCCGGACCCCCAACCGCAGCCCAAAGGGCCCGGAGAGGGACACCCAATCAGGAAGCACCTGAAAACTCACACTCCGAAGCAGTGAGTGATTCACTTACATGCAAATTTTTCTTTTTTCTCTTGCAGGGAAAATAACATCGTATTTCCTAGGGGCTTGGGAGTGGGTGTGTTGACAACAGCAAGCACAATTACTCTAATTTACAATTAACTAGGATACTGCTTTGATTCAGTACAAATTAGAATATTGTCTCTGTTCACCCCAGACCTGCTGTTGGTTCCCGGGGGGGGGGAGGGGGGGGCTTCAACTCAGCCCCTTCAAGGTTTCCGGGATGCCTGCCGCAGGACACCTCAGAATGAGAGGCAGCACAGGCTGCGGGGAGGGGAGTAAACTGCCAGATTCACAGGAGAAAAGCAGGTACTTGCTATCAGATTTTCACAGGCACGAGGATGAAGATCCAGAGCCGTGAGCAGAGAAAGAAACTGCTGTCCCTTTAGAAAAAGACGTACGCTGGCCAAGGGCCCATGTGCCGAAGGCGGGTGGCCTCGGGGCAGCCGATGGCGGTCAGGGTCGGGTGAGAAGGCCCCGCTGGACAGTGTTTACTTAGGCTTCTCGGGGGCCCACACTCCCTGCACCCGAGGGTCTGGTGCCACCTCCCCTAGCAACGAGCTGGGGCAGGTGCCAGATAAGCCAGGAAGTTTTATCTCCCAAAATGTATAGTTAACCAGACAAATGGCACATCAATAAAATTTGATTTAAAAAACCCTTTTGAGAAAGAGAAATGAGTTTGCAGTCAGGCTTCAAAGACGTTATGTGAACAGGTGCACAGAGCTGCCTCAGCACTGCCTGCCACGGCCGATCGCACAATGCTGGCCGCGAGCATGGAGGGAGGGGGGTGTCTTGGGGCGCCGAGGTAACGGGACAGCCAACTAACCCATGGGGCAGCTTCGTGGCAATTAACATGTATTTGCTCTTCAGTTTTGAACTGGCAAGTAGCACATTCAGGCTACCAGCCAGCGCTGTAAGGGTGCTGGAGAGGAGCCTCCTGTGTGCGGCCCCGAAGGCTGCGACGCCCCATGGAGCTGTGCTCGGACATCCGTCACAAGAGCTGTCAAAGTCCCCTCTGCGAGCCAAACACTTTATGTTGGGACTCCGCTCTCAGAAAACAAACCCCAAATAAGAAGGGGGCGAAACCATCTGTGCAAGAGAGTCCACGGTGTATATTTACAGGAATGAGGGTAAGAAAAAAAAAGCCACAGGTAAGTGGACGACTAACATTAGGGACGTGTTAAGGAAAACGACATGGGCGATCCCGACAGTGACGTGCATTAAGAGTGGCCACGGACTCAGGGCCATCACGGGGCAGCAGAGGGACGCTGACGCGCATTCGATGACCCATGTGACCCCAGCTGGTTCTGGTTTTCGAGTCACTGGGAGCCCCGGATGCCCGTGGAAACGCAAAGCGTGACTGTGGCCCAGTAAGGGTCTTGTTGTCCTTTGACACATTTTCTGGCACTCTACAATGAAAATGACTTCTTAGCAACCAGAGCGAGAGAGGCCCCGCCTGGGGACGGACACAGCTGAAGCCTCACTCACCGTGACAGCCTCCCCGACCCCCTCAGTCCTCACACCAGCGTCACAGCCACTCACCGTAAACACCTTCTCGGGGGTCCCCTTGGCCCTCATGTTGGTGTCGTGGACCCGCTTGAGAATCATCCAGGCTTCGTCGTGTTTGCCCATCTGTTGAAAACCAAGGAGAAGGACCTGGAAAAGTTGTTTCTGAGGATGAATGGAAAAGCCTAGAATCCCAGATTCCTGAGTGCGAGGACGCTGGGCCCAGACTCCGACTGTCCTGGACATGGGGGCGTGGTGGACAGCTCCCTGTTCCCGCTCCTTCCTGGAGGGATAGTGAGGTGCTGCCCTCAAGGGGTGACTGCTAAGCCTCACCGCACTGCACGCGATTCTCAGTGCACGTTCTGTGGGACGCCCCACGGAGCTGTGCTCGGACATCCGTCGCAAGAGCTGTCAAAATCCCCTCTGCAAGCCAGTCACTTTATGTCGGGACTCCGCTCTTAGAAAACAAACCCCAAATAAGAAGGGGACCCCAAATAAGAAGGGGGCGAGAGGTTGAATGGGGCCTGGGTGGGAGCCATGTTCCTCGCTGACAAGGTCAGACAAAAAGCAATCTGTTATGGGGCGCACTACATCCCCTAAAAGAGACATGCTGATACCCCCAACATGGACATGCTCAGAGTGTGACTGTGTTTGGAAATAGGGTTGCTGCAGACAGTTAATTAGGGTGAGGTCATGCTGGCGAGGGCGGCTGGACTGTGTCCTGAGAAGCAGGCACCTGTGTGAAGACACACAGAACCGCATGGCCAGAGGCAGGATGCGAAGGACACAGCATCAAGCCACGAAACTGCTGGCAGCACCTACTAGGTGCAAGAGGCGTGGAAGCGCCCTGTGCACTTCAGAGGGAGCGTGGTCTACCAGCACCGTGGCTCTGAACGGGGCAGTACCGTCCCACGACTTGAAGCCGTTCAGTGCGAGGACCTCTGTGCCGGGAGCCCTCGCCCAGGGCATCGGACAGCGCAGGGCTGGGCGTGAGATGCCCTCTGCCCTGAGCGGGGCAGGCAGCCAGGAGGTGACTTGGCAGAAGGATCCAGGAGGCTCACGAATGGACTCCTGCGTCCCTGGGTCCTGGGCGCTGTGCCTGCCCCTGCCCTGTCTGGCCACTGGGAGGGGCAGCGCCCCGGAGAGGAGCCCCTCGAGAGAGGAGCCCTGAGGGGCCCGGGAGTAGCAGTGAGCTCCATCACGGACTTCACTGCCACAGCGGGGAAGAACGGCACGTAACTGAAGTGTCTGCTTATCGGCACGTAACTGAAGAGCCTGGGGGAGCGTGGGTGCAGGGCCACCCCTGCCCACCTCTGGGATGGTCACTCAGGTAATTCAGGGCGCAGAACTGTCACCAGCAGAATCAGGCCCAGCCTGAGTGAGGAGCGGGTTGGCTGACCTGCGGCGCGTGCACAGTGCTAACGGGCGGCCAGGGCTCCAGACTCACCTCCAGCAGAAACCTCGGGCTCTCGGGCATGAACTTCAGGGCCAGCAGGGACACGGTGCAGGGCAGCGCACAGACGATCACGAACACTCTCCAGCTGTGGAAGTGGTAGCTGGTGCCCATGCTGAAGCCCCAGCCTGGGAGGAAGCATGAGGTTTCTGACCCAACAAGGACCTTGACACTGGCCCTCAAATTCTAGGGTGCCAGAGTGCCACCTGGGAGCAGGTTCAAATGCAGATGCCAGATCTGGGGTGGACGCTGGGAACCCGGGCCTTGACGGCCTCCTTGCCACACCTGGCCCAGCACGCAGTAGCCACATCACAGTTTACGTTAACAAGCTGACAAACCAGGGACGTCCTGCAACCCCTTTCTTGACAAATAACAAGCTGGAAGGCCAGAGCTACTCAGGATGCCCTCCGGGGCCCACTCCTCCTCCCCGGCCCCTCCGGAGCAGGGGCCTCCTGCCCACAGGGGTGGGCACGCCATATACATCATGTGGTGAAGATGGGCCTCCTTGTCCTGATCCCTGGGGTTTAGTGGGAATGCAGGGTTCTGGGGGCGCGAGGACTGGGGTGGTACCACGGTGCAACCGTAGCAAAATCACAGCTTCTCTGGGCCGCTGCTATATCATCTATAGAACGGGTCGCTCAAACCTAACTTGTTGGGGGGGAGGGGTGACAGGTAGAGGAAATGAAGATCGAAATCCTTTCGGTCAGAAGGAGGGAAAGAAGAAAGAAAAGCATGGGAGCGGGAGACAGTCGTTATTTGCAGAAAGGCAGCGGGTACTGAAATGAGCAGTGTCTCCAGGGCTGGAAGTTCTCCAGAGACATCAAGGTCAGACACGGGGACTAGGTGAGGGGAGGGACACCGCTGAGCACAGGGATGGAGCTGGCACCAGGGAGGGCCCGGTCCGGGGAAGCCTGCGTGCTCACCGTAGTGTGGAATGATGCTCCAGGCCATGGCAGACGCGTAGATGCCCCCGGTCATCCAGAAGATGCCCAGCCAGCTGAGGTGCTCGCCTCGCTTCTCCCGGGACAGGAATTCAGAAAAATAGGCAAAAACAATGGGCAGAGCACCCCCGATGCTGCCGAGAGAAAAGACCAGACGGGACAAATCAAGCCATAGGCTAAACATGGTCACAGCGGACACCAAGTGGCCTTGCGCCCGCCCTTAAGCGCGGTGCTGGAAGAGCCCAGGGCCTGAAAGGCCACGGGGGCCAGCTGCCCGAGGGGCCAGCTGCCCGAGGACAGTGGCTTCAACCTAACCCCTTCCCATGGGTCAGCGCTCACGCCGTCTCTTGGAAGCCCCAAAACTCAGTCCAAGGGGTCCTGGAGGTGCCTCTGAAGCTGGAGAGCCAGGACAGATGGTCCATGGGCTCAGGGTCCCGCTGGAGCCCTGGGTCACGTACCCTACGCCTGAGAGGAGCCGGCAGAAGAGGAAGGCCCCGTATCCCTGCACAAAGGAGGAGAGGGAGGCGAAGGAGGCGTTGATGGCCAGAGAGGTGCTCAGGACTCTCTTCCTCCCCAGCTTATCGGCCAGGCCCCCCAGGACAAAGGCCCCGGCCATCATTCCGAGGTAGACTATCAGCCCTGGAGGAGGGGAGAGGGGAGAGAGAGAAGCATCAGAGACCATGCAATGCTTTAGAAAACCCAACACCATGTTCATGTCATGGACATAAGAGCTGGCCAATCGAGCGCAGTGCAGATGTGACTTCCTGGGAACACTTTGCCCAAAACTCTGCTTTGCCAGGGTTAGATATATGCACCACATCCTAAAACACCCCGACCCAACTGGTTTTTCTGAGGGACCTCTCTTTTAGCTGCATAATCCACAGAAGAAGGAAATACTATTATTCTATTTTTAAGCAAAATAAAAGGGCAAGGGTGTCATAAAAATCCTTACCTGCAGAGTTATGTTTAAAGAGAAAATGTCCCTGGGGAAAGCACAGCAACGTGAGTGGGGGTTGGGGGAGAAAACAGCAAACGTAAAACAGCACGTGCCAATAAGGGCAACTATCAGGTCAGACGCCCAAGAAGGACGCGGCCAAGGTGCAGCCGCGTCCCGCTTCCTTCGAGGGGTGTGGAAGAGGGGCAGGAGCGGTCCCGTCTTCAGCCCTACCTGTCCTATAGGAAAATTATTTCACTCAAGAGGTCATATAAAGACAGAGTTGGAGACAGATGGGTAGTGTCCAGCGTCCCAGGTGGCCATCTCCAGGCAGTTGTTTCCTCCTAAGGACGGCGCTAACTAATTACTAAGGCCTCTGCCAAGTGCAAGTACCAGTCACTGAGCCTAAGAAGGCAACTTTGCCCCTAGCTTGCAGGCAGAGAAAGCGCTGAATGTACCCACTAGCGAAGTGCCTGTCCCCTGCCCAGCTTCAAGCGGAAGCCAAAGGATGAACGCAAGTTGCCTTTCACATAAAAGAAGGGTTTCTGGCCCGAGGACTTGCTTTCACACAGACAGGTGCCCTGAACAGCCAAATAAAGCAAAGCACTTCCAGGAGCATCAAATTGAGGTGGGCTCTGAGGGGAGACGGGGGTCTGCTCTGCTCATATTTCCTTCTTGGATCATCTTATTCTGAGGTAAAAGAAGCATCAGTGTTGTCAGTGGTTTTCAGTAATTAGGATTTTTTTCATTCCCTCGGCATTGCATAAAGTCACAAAACGTTATTTCCTTTTAATTGTCAGTGTATGCTGTCACTTCATAAAAGATGCCCGATTTCCCCCTATTTAATAAAAGTCTGTCGTTGATGCATTATTTTCATTACTGGGGAGACAGAGTGGCAATCCCAATCTTGATGGAGCTCATGTTGTAGGTGGGGAAATGAGACACTAAAGCAATAAGTGAGCGAACTGTACAGTAAGTAGGTGGCTCTTAGGGTTACAGAGAAAATGAAGGCCACGGAGGGGGATGGGAGAGCCAGGGTGGAAGGTGGCAGGGAACAAAGGTAGAAGTCTGCCCTCCCCTGGATGGGGCCTTTGAGCAAACACCCAAAGGGAGCCAAACACGGGGTGTCCCGGGGACACTGCTGCACCTCAGTGCGCAGACCTGAGGTTTCGCTGCACACTCAGGGCGAGAGAGGACGCATTTCTCACCACCCTGGTTTCCCCAGTGCCCAGGCCCACAGAAAATGGAGAGAACTGTCTCCCACTATAGTAGGTCACTACCATCTATGCTTGAGAAAAGGCGGCAAGATTTGCAAACCCACCCGTGCATGTGGCACATCGTATTGTGATTGTGCGGCTCAGTGTTCCTGCCCCACAATGAGTACACCTGCCTGGTCCGGTCCCGAATGGTCAAGGGATTTCCACATCTGGTCCCCTTCCAACTCGACCTTGCCCGGTCTGAGCCCCTAAGCCTTCATCTAGCATGAACGAGGACATCTTACGGCCGCCTCTGCCACCCTGACACACCCAGCCCACCAAAAGTGAAGAGGGGCAGGTGCTTGGGCGAGCCTCCAGCTGCAGGCTCCCGCTCTCACTGAGTCTGCAGACTGGGCCTGAGGTCCTGGCTCCCCATCCAGTTTCCCACCTGCATCTGATGCCCCAGTCAACCGGACACACCCAGGAAAGCACCGGCTTCTGCTTCCTCTGACTCAGGCAGGGCACTAACACCAGGCATGGCTGGAGCCCTGTCTGAGAGGACTGGCCTTTCCTTCCCACTCCCAGGGGGTGCTCTGGGGTCTCCCCAGCAGCAGCACAGCTCACAGTGGAGTCTGACACAGGCCCTTGCTTCCGTCTCTAGACCAGAGAGAGAGGGAGCTTCTTGATCCAGTCTGTTCAGCTTCCAACCCCTTAATACAACCCGTTGAGAGAATTTCCAACCTCCTGTTCTGCCAACAAATGCCTTCGTCTCTCTCGTGCTGCCCGATCAATAAACACGGGAATAAAGACACAGACGGTGCAGAGGAGAGCGGACGGCCTCGCGTGCCGAGCCACGAGCGGGTGCACGCCCGAGCGACACGGCAGTGAGCAGCCCGGCGTCGCATCCAGCCGCAGGCGGCGTGACCCCTGCGAGGCCACCTGCCGGGCACTTCGCAGGCTGCCGCTCCCACTTACTGCCTCCAGCGACCCAGGGGAGTGGCACCATCACTGTTCTGGCTGCTCAGGAGGAAACGGATTCGCGGAGAGCTAGAGGTCTTCTCACTAGGGGGAGTACAAGGCTGTGCTCCGGGAACTCTGACCTCGGAGCCGAGGCTCTAAGGACCACACTCACTGCTCTTCATAGATGCGCCCTTTTCGCTCCCATTAGCTCACGCTTTGCCCAGCCCCAGGACTGTGCTAAGTAAGGGCGCAGCTCCTGATTGTCTCCCAGCAAGCAAAGTGCTCAGTGAAGGTGTGTGTGGGTGGGGTGAAATCGAGCAGGAGCACAGGTGGACACTCTCACTCCTGGCAGGGGCTCCCGGAGCACGCGGGCAGCTGCAGGGGGCAGAGACTGGTCAGCGCCCGGTCCTGGCCGGGGGCGGCGTCCCGGGCGCGGGCAGGGAAGTGAACAGAGCACCTGGCTGTCTGGGCGACGATCTGCCAGGGGGGCAGGGAGCAGAGCCGCAGGTGGGGGCCTGAGTGGGGACTGCAGGTCGGCCAGAAGTGGGGGCCATGCGGGAGGGAGCAAGGATGTGAGTGCGTGGCACCCCGGGTGGGTGTCTGCATACTTGGGGGGAAGGGGGGACTGTGCGCTGGAGGAGGGAAGCGGGTTAGAGCTCGGTCAGGAGGGCAGCCGGCATCGGGCCCACACCACACCCACCCAGAGGAAACCCTGGCGCAAGGCCCATTTGTAGTCTCTGACTTCACTAAAGCCACGTGGGCCAGCCCAGGCTCCGCCCCACACACAAACTACCGCGGGGGCTTGCTGAGCTCAGATTCTGGGCCTTCGGGTCTGGGGCACTCTGGGGCCCTGAGTGTCAGCATCCTCCAGGTGAGGCCCAGGCACCCGACCACCCCCGGGCAGACCTGGCCTCTGGAACCAGAAGGTCCCCATGGGGCGGGAGACATGGGAGAAACTCCTCTTCCCCGCGAGCTACCTGACTGCTGAAGTCCCTATCTGCACTGCCTTGTCACTTGTCTTGCAAGTGTCAATCTGGAAAGATAATGGTGCAGGGCTTTCCCCAAAAGTAAAGAAAAAACACCCCCAAAACACAGATGCAAATGTTGGGTCAGGACGCTGTGACAGTGGGGTGGCCCGGGGCTGGCCAGAAGCACCTTCGAGGCCACCGAAATGCACTCTCAGCAGTAAACAGTGGACGCTGCCCGCCCGCCAGCCTGGAAGGCGCCTCCTCAGCCGGCCCTGCCCTGCCCACCGCCAGGAGGCACCGAGGGAGCACAGGGGTGGAGAGCGCAATGCTGGCCGCCTGGCTCCAGGCCTGTGGCTCTTGCTGCCAAACCTCACTGTCGAGTCAGACATGGGCTTGAGAAGGAGCGCGCCTCAAACTGCTCTTGTTGGGGGTCAAATTTCACCCCAAGAGGTGCCACTTTAGTACCAGCATTACTTTGAGCTGAGGACAGTTGAGAAACAGCGCATGCTAGGGAGTGAAGCTCTCTGCTCTCCTTCACTATTCACCCACCCCAAAGCAGGCTTAGCTCTTTTTTTTTTTTAAGATTTATTTATTTATGCACACAGAACTGGGGTGCAGGCCGCAGGTGCAGAGGCAGTGAGAGGTTTCACCAGAGACAGAGTGGGGAGCAGAACAGGCTGAGTGACGAAGTCCACTGCTGAGGGAGCAGGGGAAACAGGAGAGGTCTGCCGCGCCCTGGGGGTCAGCTCCAGGGAGGGGATCAAACTCACACGCAAGAGGCTGCAGCCAGCCTGCAGTGCTGCGCCCTAGCCCGCTGCACCACCAGCGAGGGTCCAGCAGGCTTAGCTCTCAATCATCAGGGACCAAGTCAGCCAGAGACGCACCAGGAGCGACCCACAGCAGAAGCCTCACCCACTCAAGCCCCTCGGCCCCTTTGCTTCCTTCCACAGCGGCCTCCCCTGAGGCCCCAAGGTCCTTTCCGTTGGCCACTTCTCAGCCTCTGAGACAACGCCAAAGCCAGTGTAGACACCCTTTGAGTTACTTGTGTGCACTGCGCATGCTAATGCACCATTTTCCTCTTGTGACTTTAATTCCCAGGCCCCCGCCCCTGAGCCAAGAGAGTAAGGAGAAAACGATTTTCCTCCTCTATGAAAAAGAAGCGGGGAAAAGAGGCAGGCTCTCCACGGAGAAGAAAAATATGAAGCCAACGAAGCCTTTGAAATGACTGTGCTTTAAACTCATTTAAAACTTGTCTTTGGCAGGAGAAATTAAGGCAGTAAATTTGGAAAATGAGAATGCAATAGAGTTATCGAAAATTGCATCAGCACGAAGCAGATGACGGGCTGATTGGAGAGCGAGGAAGTATATTACCCTGCAACTCCACTCCACAAGCTTGCATTAGGGAACAGTCCCCCTCACGCACGGAGCTTTTTAAGGGACATCAAGAAACATGGCTGTGGGCTCCCCAGTGGCAGGTAAAGCGCAGCACTATGAAGCCACACGCAGCCGCTGCAGCCCGAGTTCGATGCCCGGCCAGGGGGTGACCCACAGGGCAGATGACCTTTCCTGTCTCCCCGCTGT